TCAACTAGAATTATTTTTAAGTGCTGTTTCTGACAGTCCTTCAGAATGATAAATTTGTTGTTTGATAGGGAATATGCATTTTACCAGAAGGGTGGAATACAGTGTCTTTGGCTAAGATGTCCTTCACAGAAGAAGGAAATTTTGGGGAGACTTCCGCCAAGATGGAGGCGTAGGTGGGAACACTTTTCATCCTCGTACAACAAATCTAAAAACAATAAAGTTTTAATAATAATAAACATAACCAAACCACACAGAAAATCGAATATGGAGTCCGGAAACAACAGACCACTCAACTAAACTGGTGAGAGGGGTGAAACCAGCAGCGGAGCCAGGCAAAAAAGATTGGGGTGGTGCACAGGCAGCCCTGGGGCGAGGATCCCAGGTGCGGGCTAGATACGGGCAGAACCCAGGGAAGATGCGCTGCTGGCTGTCTGCAGTGGGTAGCGCATTTGCACGCAGATAAACCAGTGAAGAGGCGAGCCGTGGGTGAGCCGTGAGGCCGACTGGGCGATGGGAGATGACCCCCATTGCCCCCTCTCTGACCCCACCCCCACATACAGCCTCACAAACCTGCAACCTGGGTGGCCCCGCCCCGGTAAACATCAAGGCACCTCTCCTCGTATGTAACAGGCACAAACAGATCAAAACATGGCTTAAGAACTCAGAGCCCCAGAGCTGATAAATCTAAGTGACAAAGAAATAGCCAAACTTTCAGATGCTCAAAACACTGGTGATCAGGATGCTCACAGAACTGGTTGATTATAGTCACAAATTAGAGGAATATATGAAGACTAAACTGATCGAAATGAATGGAAATGCACAGGAAACTGATAGTAATGGAAAGGAAACTGGGACTCAAATCAAAGGAGTGGACCAGAAGGAGGAAAAAAATGACCAAACAGAAAAGGATGAAGAAACAAGAATTCAAAAAAATGAGGAGAGGCTTGGGAACCTTCAGGACATCTTTAAACGTTCCAACATCCGAATTATAGGGGTACCAGAAAGGGAAGAGGAACAGCCACAAGTGAAAAACTTATTTGAACAAACAATAAAGGAGAATTTCCCCAATCTGGCAAAGGAAATAGACTTCCAGGAAATCCAGGAAGCTCAGAGAGTCCCAAAGAAGTTGGACCCAAGGAGGAACACACCAAGGCACATCATAATTATATTAGCCAAGATTACAATGAAAGAGAGAATTCTAGAAGCAGCAAGAGCTAAGGGGAAAGTCACCTACAAAGGAGTTCCCATCAGACTGTCAGCAGATTTCTCGAAAGAAACTTTACAGGCAAGAAGGGGCTGGAAAAAAGTATTCCAAGTCATTAAAACCAAAGACCTACAACCAAGATTGCTCTACCCAGCAAAGTTTTCATTTAGAATAGAAGGACAGATAAAGTGCTTCTCAGATAAGATCAAATTCAAGGAGTTCATCATCCCCAAGCCCTTGCTATATGAAATGTTAAAGGGACTTACCTAAGAAAAAGAAGATAAAAAAGATGAACAGTGAAAGGACAGAAAACTCACAGCTATTAACAACCACACCTAAAACAAAAACAAATTAAGAGGGCAGCTAGATCAGGAATGAACCATAGAAATGAAGATCACATGGAGGGTTAGCAACAGGGGAGTGGGAGAAGGAGAAGGGGGGGAGAAGGTACAGAAAATAAGTAGCATAGACAGTAGATAGAAAATAGGGGGAGGGTAAGAATAGTAGGGGAAATATAGAATCTAAAGAACTTGAGCCACGTGTTCATGAACTAAAGGGGGGAGAATGGTGGGGGAGGGGTGTGCAGTGTGAAGGGGAACGGAGGAGGGGAAATAGAACAAATGTAATGGCATAATCAATAAAAAAAGTTTAAAAAAAGAAAGATTTTGAATGTAAAACATGCCTGTGATATATGATGCATATAAAAAAAGAAAATTTTTGTATTGTGCATTTAGCATATTTAAAGATACACATTCCAGGGTAGCAGCTTGCTCCAAAGCACATTCAATTTTTATTTGTGGGTAAAGCTATGTTGATTTAGTACCACCACTCTTTGGCAGATCTTATTCTAATATTCTCCTCAGGAACCAATCTGAGAAAAATTTCTAGACAGCCTACTTCAGGTAACTTTTATGTCAGGTAACCTTGACAGTTGTCATGACCAGAAGACAAGTATAGAACAAATGGCATGACACAAGACTTGAAAGTACGCAAAAAAATATATAACAACTGAATTCTAGCAGGTTAAAAAGCAAAACCAGGAAATACCTCCAACCTCAACTTTGACATGAATGAAATAATAGAAGAATAGAAAAACATCTTAGGCATTCAAGGGATAGGGTTGCTCCATGTATCACTTTAAAGTAACACTATATCTAAAAATAAAGTAGACTAGTCTTGTTAGCTATTTTGATGTTAACTGTACTAAACTAACTTCTAATAAAAAGAAATTGTGCTAGTAAATTGACTGAAGAATGGCTAATTAGGGAAGGAGAGGTGAAGGTCACTGGAGGTTCCAGAATGTCTAAGATCCAAGTGGCTAATATCCAGACAAACTGACTTCCTCCCTGAATGTGCCCAGATGGCAGAGATAACACTGATTTGTGGTCATTGCTGTTTTTTGACAGGGACTGTCACCAGTAGGTGACCCCATCAGCCTGAAAGCAGGAAAATTACTAAATGATGCAAGAAAATGCCTGCAGGCGAGTATGCCATAGGGTCCCTGAGAAGCAAGAGGGCAGAGCCTCAGGAAAAACAAATTTTCATTTGTTACACAAAGGTTACACAAAGCAGACTGATTTTTCTTTGCAGATAGAAAAATAAAAGCAATTTAGTTTCCACAAATATTAGGTCTAATAAGAAAAAAAAACAAATTCTCTTTGAGAAAAATAAGACACCATATATAAAAGGCAAAGCAAATGGCATGATTTCATGATAATATAGCAGTCACCAAAATGAGATCTATGATCTATGAACACAATCTAGTCTGGAATCAACTACTCTAATAGTATAGAGACATTATCTCTCCACACAACACCAGACAGAGGACAGAAAGTAAACAAATTCCAGACTAATGCAAGGGTGAAATTTTAATATAAGCCCTTCCTCAACAGAACTGGCAAACACAACTCCAACTAATTTTTCAAAAATATAATGCTAGTTGTCAGAAGGCAACCCACTATTAACAATTATTTTTAGCAAAGTTATGAAACTGGAAAACAGACTGAAAAAAAGAGAGAAATCTTTTCTCAAATCTTGTCCAATCCCCAAAATGAGATGAGAGTAAAGTATGGGAGATAAAACTACTGTATAAAAGTGAGGAAGTATTACTTCCTCTGGAAGGAGCAAATTATGCTTCTAAAATCTATAATCAATTACTTAGTTGAATGAAGGGAGAATTATTAAATATTTAATTAAACCACATTCAATCTAGATTTTCCATTCCCTTAGAGATCACTTTAATACTGATAATTAACAATTTCTAACGTGCACTTTCAAGATGTTTCATCTAAGCACTGGAGGAAACTATATTAAACATTAAAATATAAGGGATTAACATGTGAACTTAAATTGGCCATCTCAAAATAAGTAATGAAATTTTTGCTGATAAAGAGGTATGCAGTTCACTAGTAAAAATCAAGATTCAGAAACATGAGTCAGTTGTTTAAAGTCACAATTTAAATTTTTTTCCAAAAGCAAAGTCTGAGTTTATAATGCATAATTCTACATCATTTTGAATGTCTGTTGTGAAAACTCTGTTCCCTTTCTAAAGCATCAGTTTCTGTTAACAATAACCAGATAACCACATCGGTAGGAGTGATTTCTATCATCAGACTTCACGCTCATAGCTCAATGTCATGTGACTGTTACAAGACTATGAAATCATGCCAGTGAACTTTCTTTTAATAATTTTATATTAAGAAATAGGAATGCAGCAATCCCCTGAAGATCCTCTTCATATGCCTGCCCATACATGTGAATTGTCATAGACATTAATGGAGAATGAGGGTCTCATTTTCTTCATAACTATAATGAGGGAGTTAAGAACAGATGACTCAAAGATCTCGGTTTATCCAAAAATTTATATAGACTAAGATGAGGAGAATAAACAAACTCTACATAAAGAAGTTCTTTGAGAATTCATGTCTGTAAGACTAAATATCCAAGCCATTTTAAACTTGATATCTACTATCCTTTTATTAGTAATTTATAAGTGGCCAAACTTTAAATTCTAATGACCAAAGCCATTATGTTAAAAGAAGACTAGAAACAAAAACTCAAATTCAAGAGGTCATCAGTGCTGTTTGTCATAAAACAAGCTTACTCTGGGGGGTTAGGGGGGGATTGAGGACATGTGGACAATCTTAACATATGTAGTAGGAAGAAAATAAATGTTTTAAATTATTTACTTTTCCTTTGTATCTAGGCACCCCAAATTTACAACATAAGTGTTTGGTATACTGGGGAGATGACCGTATTAATCCACCATTCATAGGTAAGTCTCGTGTGTGTAAAAGGGGGCACATTAGGACAAAGAAGCAGCTTCATCTGTCCAAGACAAGATAAAGCTTTCAGTCCCAGTTCAGGGGACAGATTTTCTTTAAGTGGGGGAGGGTGTCTAATTGCTCACATTGGATTATTCTGTTAAGCTAAGAAAATTAAAGCCTATCATTTAAGAATGGGATCTCACCTTGGGCAAATAAGCCTTCCAAAAACAAACTCAGAAATGAGGGTTAACAAGCATGCAAATACAAAATCTACAACAAGACACTATTCATGGAAATTTTGGCATATTTTAGGCTCCTGCTATCCCCAGAAATACGATGGGACACTTTTCCTAAACTATAATTATACCAGAATGGGGATAAAATGCAACACCTGCATGGACGGGTGCTGAGAAGGGCAAAGTGTTCTGCACAGAGCTAGAAATAAACAGGGAAGACACTATGATCCCAAGCACACATCATGCAAGGTCCTGACTTGCTCGGCACATTTTCTCCCCAAATGCAATGCCTACCTTCCGTGTGGACCGCAGAGACATAGGTCCAATTGTAACGCTTGACTATATCAAGCATCGCCCTTGCCTGCAAAGTGTCAGAAGGGACAACCCTCAGGAAGTATTTGTACAAAGTTTTGTCACTCAGGTCGATACTTGTGGCTGAATATGCAATCTGGGGGATGTCAAAGAGCTGGAGCAGGTTCTGCACTTGAATGGCTACGGAGCTGGAGCCCGGGCCGATCACACCTGCAATGGGCTTCTTAGTCCTGCCTGGGGGGAGAGACTGCCCGTCAGGCAGGCACCGGTTGAGTCCATCTTTCTCATCTCGAATGGAAATCAAAGAGTCCCTGATGAACTCAATGCTCTGCTCCAGAGCCACAGAGGAGTGCCAGCAGGAGTCCCGAATCTCACTGCCCAGGGTGATGTTGGGCAGGAGGACCGGGTCCGCGTTGATCTTATCCAGCGTGTGGAACATAGCCTCCACCCTCTGGATGCCATACTGCTCCCTGATCTCCCCGCACTTCCTCTCGGGCACCTTCTCCGCTGGAGGCTGGTGGTGGACTGAGAAGAGCGCCCCAATGATGACATCTCCGTCCATTCTGGCCACCGAGCGCTGAGATGAGGCTCCCGCCAGCAACATTTTCCTGCCGGGGCTTCTGGGGAGAAGGGACATCTCCAAAAATATTGCTGGGAAGAAAACCAACAGCAGCCGGACCATTGTGATGAGGAAGCGGTGCACAGCCCGCCAGCCACGTCTCCACTCAAGTCCCGCCGGCCCGCTGCAGGCGCGCACCTGCACCGCGGGGCGGCCCCACGTCCGTCTCTCCCGGCTGGGTCCCGCTCGCCAACACCACTCTTGCAACCCTGTCGCCGCCTGCACCACCGCCTCCTCTGCCCCGCCTCCTGCCCCTGGTCCTCCACGATCACCCCCGCTCCCGGGAGGCGTTTCTAGGGGGATTCAAGTCCTCCTTCTTCACCGGCGCACCAAGGCAAACTGTTCAAGGGTACAGTGGACGTCCTGGTGAGCAGGACGGTGAGCTCACGGCGGTCAGCAGGAAGCTGCGGACAAGAGAGGTAGAAAACCAAAGCTCCGTTATCACCTGTGTCAAAACTCAGGGGTCAGTGAGGTTAATAGCTAGCCTGTCCAGTTCATTTCAGCCCATCACGGTATCGGCTGGAGAGACAGCTTGGGAGGCAGCTCTGGTCCAGGAGGAAGGTGATGGGTCTGGTGGCCAGTGCCCTCATCTGTCCGGGTAGGCGCGGAGCCCAGCCGACCCGCCCCCTCCTCCAGCCACAAGTCTTTTCCCAGTCCCCAGGGCACAGCACGCTGACCGATTTGAGACGGGGGAGGGAGGGGGGGCTAGATCTTTCACCTTAGGAGAACTTTCAGGGTTTAAAAAGACCAACTTTTTCCCAGAAGCAATTTGGAAACTCCTTCAAAATGAACGCAAACAAAGAATGCACCTTGTTACTTTAGTTTGAGGGGTTGAAGAGGCCCCAACGGACAACCCAAGTAGTAAAAATAAATGTGCCAGCTTGAGGAACACCATCTTAGTTACTAAGGCAATGCCTGGTAGTCTCTGCACGTCGGAGTTTGGTACGCCCCCCTCCTAACCTCCTCCCAGCAAGTCAGGTTTACAGTAGAGGGTGAAGGAGAAAGGGTGCACATAAGGTAACTTTCCCCGAGGTGGGGTGCTGGGTGGAGGGAGAGGTGGAGGGGCTCCTGCACTTGCCTAAATTGGGATCTTTGTGCACACAGTTATTAGAAAGGAAACGGAGCTTCCTGGTTGCTCTCGCGGCGGCAGCCGAGCCCTGCCTCCTTCAGAACCTTGGACAGTGCTCGGTCCAGCTCCCCAGACTTGCCCCTGCAGGGCCTGGAGCGGGCGCTTCGACCTGAGAGTTGCGTTCTTTGACAACCCACAACCCCCGCCCCCGACTCGCTCTTTCAACCACCACCCCTGCATTCTTCTCTCTCTCTCTCTCTCTCTCTCTCTCTCTCTCTCTCTCTCTCTCTCTCACACACACACACACACTCACACACACACCCCTCCCCTCGCCTCCTCACCATCCTTCCGTCCTCATTCTCTTCCCCTTGCAGTCAGTGCTCCTGCAAGTGTATTCAAACCCGACCGCTTCAGGGATCAGAGGCGCCAAATTCCAGCCGCCCGAGGGGCTGAAGTTGGCTCCCTCTCCCGTCCCTCCTCGGCTCCCTTTCTCAAGGTGAGAGTCGGCGGAGAAAAGAGCTAAAGGCGCGTGTGGGATGAGGAAGGCAAAAGGAGCAAAACGACCCAGGCATCCAAGGGTTCCGACGCTTCCCGGGATGCGGGACTAAAATAAATAAATAAGCGAGGGTGCCCCTGAGACCAGGAGGAAAATCCCATAGCTGGAGACTGTCTGCCACTGGGGCTGGGTTTCGCCGCTCAGAGGTTTCTGCTCACCTGAGCCTGCTTGGAGAATTTGGACTTGAGACGTACCTGAGTCTGGCAGACAGCGCTGTGGTCCCCAGGCCAGAGGACCTCGGCCACAGTCGGTAGGCAGACGCCTCAGCTCTAATCCAGACCGTGCAAGGCTGCTATCTGGGCTGTACTCTAGTGCCCTCTTTCTTCGGCACTATTTTACCGCAAGGGAAAAAGAGGGAGGAGGGAGGGAAAAAAATTAAAAAACAGGTCACCCAAGGCTTGTCTATAAGCTCAGGCATAAAAATCAGTCGTTTAATGGGGGGAGGGGAAGCTAGGGAAAAGTGAGGAATATTAATTTCTTTACTACGACAAGGTTCCCGAGCAAGCTGCTAGATACACGGACAGCCAGATCTGATGAAAGGAGTGGGGAAAGGCTTAGGCTGCTTTGGGTGGACATCCCTTCTTTGTATTTCAAGGACCCAAGTGCATTCTCTCTCCCTGGAAGTAAAGCTTCTTCTGAGGGAAACAGTAAATGCATGTGTAGACAGCTAGAGAAATGCTTTGTTAGTAGGTTTCACGGGGGAAGGGGGAGAGGCTGTGTCCAGGGGGATGAGAGGAAAAGGTGGATGCACGCCATGCTCAAGGTAAGCCAAATGAGGAGAGGCAAACCGTGCCTACATTTTCCAGGTCAAGATGTAACTAAATTGGGAATGAAAGTCAGGTCACATGAAAACACTGGAGTGAAAAACACAGCCGAATTCCTCCCCGGCGGCCATCACTGTCCGGACAGGTCTACAGTGTTGCTTCTTACCGTGTGAAAAGTGGAAGTTAAATCTCATTTCTTTGGGAACATGCTGGCTGAGCCAAATGTGTCCCAGCTTCTTCAGAAGGGACAGACAAGTGACAATGTGCAATTCCACTCTTGCTCAAAGTCTGTGTCCTCTGTAGAGATGAAGGATCAGCTTATGTGTGTCCTTTTATAGTTATCTTGTTCATGTCATCATTATGCTATGACATAATGCCATGCCAGCCTAGAGGGGACAACCCACATGAGATCGTTTTAAACACTTTTTAGTAAGTTCCATGAAACTTAGAAAAAGAAACAATGTCTCCAGTCAAGAACAGAAGCTAATTCTCATTTGGTTCTGGTCTTTTTCCCCCATGTCATATTTTCTATAGTTTTCTTAGACAATGTAGAAAGAATAGAATTTTTTCTTTTTCCATTAATAATGCACTGAATGAGATATATACTCTCTAGTCCTAAAACAATTCAGATTTGAAAATAACCATATACTCACTCAAGGAAAATAGAAGGTAAGTTCCTGTCTTCATGCATATGGTAAAATGGTTCTCTGTCTATACCCTAAGGAAGATGTCTGCTCTAAGAGCAAGCCACAGCTGTTCACAGTGTCCCATCTTACTTCTTTATTAGCCATTTAACTTCCATTTTAGATATTACTATTCTAGTAATACCTGGCCTGTCAAGAAATTACTCATCCATATACTATGAAAAATAAAGACATTTATTGAAAAAGATACAAAATCCAAGAAACATTGTAATTAGGACAATGATGCCTCAGTTTCCTTCAAAGTAGGCACTTTGGGACCTTACAGTTCTCCCAGAATTTCTCCACTGTTCAAAACACTCTGGAAAATCCTCTGTTGGAATGGCCATCAGCTACTACCTCATTGTGATTTCCTGAATCTCAACAAGGGTCTGAAATCTCTTCCCTTTCAAATGTGATTTTAGTTTGGGGAAAAACCAGAAGTCACAGGGCACCAAATCTCAGATGTAAGGGGGCTGAGTCACCTGGGTGATTTGATGTATCACCAAAAAACTCTTCATGAGACATAATGCATGACCAGATGCATTGCTGTGATGAAGCTGCCACTCACTCCTCACATTGTCCTCGAAAGCCTTCTGAATTTTTCGAATAGTTTCCATGAAGGAATGTTCAAGCTTAAGGCAAAATGTCATGCAGATTCATTGCTCTACTTGCTCAGTCATTTTGATGTGATGACCACACAGTACACAGGATCACTTAGGCATCTATCACCCCCATGCACTAGTACAGTGAAGTCACCATTGTTCACACATGTACATTCCAGCCCACTCTCCTTAGCTGACAGGTTACACTGTAGTTGCACAAACAGTTTTCACTGTTATATTAGCAATGGCTGGACTTTTTTCTGGACAGATCTTGTATAAGCCCTAAACATGATTTTCTTGGCATATTTTATACATATAGTGAATGTACAAAGAGTTCTGTGCATATATAGACCATTAAATATGATTTGCAGGATAAGAGAATGTAATGTCTCTGTGGTCCAGATTTAGCTTCAGTATGTGCTTCTTGAGACTAAGTATTTTCAATATATCAAATTGACATAATTTAGAAAAAGATTTGCTTGTTCTCAATATGGCCCAAGTAAAAACTATACATTCAGGTTGGCTGAAACAAGTAATTTTAAAGAGGGGAATGAACTTGCATATTATAATGAAAGATTTATGCATATGCACAAATTATATGTTACAGGCATTAGAAAAAATAATTTCAAATGCATTGATTCGAAATTATCAATTAAATTTATTGATAATTATTTCAAACAAAACTTTAAAAGTCACAAGGACAAAAATAAGGCAAGAAGAAGAAGGCATTGAGAAAGGAGAAGACAAGATCATTCAAATATACTTTATATTTCTGGGAATTAAAACTCTACCAAGACAGGCAGGATGTAATACATGTATGGACATCTAAGGGAAGCTTTATTAGTAGGATGGAAGAAAATTTCTAAAGGATAAATTGCATACAAATTAACAAATATAAGTCAATACATTAATCTATCAGAATGCAAAGAATGTTAAAAGTGCACAAGCTCAGAAGGGCTGCCAGTGTGAATCGGTGCCGGGAGGGTAGTGCATTACAGTTCACTATGTGACTTACAGCAGGGTCAGGAGCTAGGAGTATTTTGATTTGAGGAATCCATTTAAAACAAGATAATGCAAGAGAATACCCAACATATTACCCCAAGGCAATTTAAATTATGCTGCTGTAACAATGAGGACAACAAAATGTACATCATTCTTATATGGTAATAAATCAAATATTATCTGTAAACAAAACCGTGATCACTCTCTTTGGAAATGTGTGTGCAATTCCCATCACTCTTCACCATAAAGGACATCATGGAGAATCTATTCTAGATTATACCTGAGCAAAAGGATGTAATGTTTTCCACATAAAATCAGTTGAAAATCCATACTCTTCAAATGAGAAAACTAAGACATGATAGAGAATATGATTTTTTTAAATAAAGG